TGTTAGCATGATAGACAACTAAATGATTGTATATATTAATGTAATTATATAGTGATATAAATTAGCATGATCATATACATTTGTTGTAGAATCATATGAATAAATATTGTGATAGAATAGCTGATTTGGAGGGATAGCAAGGCAGATTTAGAGGGATTCAATGGCAGATTTGTATAGATAGAATAGATGATCTTTAGGGATAGGAATGGCGGATCTTTAGGGATGTGTAATCTTTATTTTCTCTATATAATGGAAAGACTCTCTAACTTTGAGAGACATTCAGCTGAAAATTGACACATATTAGAAAACCTTACCATGCTCCCAAACCCAATATATACAGGTTTAGGCCCATTTTGGATCCACTTGATAAAATCTTCAGGAGGTTGGTAGTTACTCCCAAGGTTTAAGACACAATAGCCAACAATATCAACCAAAGAGCCCCAATCTGCAAAAAATGAAATTGCTTCAATATTTTTTATGATAAATCAAGTGGACTGATAGTATGAGCACACATTATTACTAAGCCAATGGGTGAAGTAGAGCTAGAAATAGAAGAAAAGATCTTTACATGAATTCAGGGACGGGGAAGGGGATTAATGGGAATGAAGAAAGAGAGACTAACACAGAAATACTCCACAAGAAACTGATCCGTTCATTTTGACATTTACAAGTCATTAGTTTTGCTTCAACAAGAGAAGTGGAAATGACCAATACGACGAAAACAAGCATCCACATACCATTGAGGAACTGACATATACCTTTAGGCTTTGGCACAACATGTGGACTCCACATGTAGCCAGTTGGGAAGTGAGAAAGTGATCCGTGGTATGTACTGAAGTAGGCGATAGGAGGAAGGTTTAGCTTCTTTTTCCTAAACTCGTTGATCAAACCTCTTATGCCCCACCAGATCAGTAAATCCACGACTATGTAGGAAAGCTGAAATGTGCAGAAGACAAATTAGAGTTTTAACAGGAATCAGAAGCATTACTGGAAAAATATTTTTCAAAAGAAGAAACTGATAACATACCCAATACGCAGCAGGTTGAGGTACACGAGCCAACGGGTGAGGAAATTCATAAGTTGGCCTGTCTATTAACAAAGTGTGTGAGAAGGTACCTTGTTGAAAATATTAAATGGGAGAATTTAATGAAGAATGACATTGAACTCAGCAACTGACTCACATTATATTCTATGTACATAATAGTTCTTTAAATTGATCTATAAAACTTCCTAATTCAGAAGAACCAACTACTCCAGAAATTGGGCACTTGCATCTAATCTTTGTATGTCACAGACTAAGGTGTTCGATTTTGAAATATTGAATAGCAGTTTCTGCAAAAAGTTTTTCAAGTTTCAGCAAAAATTGTGTTCGATGCAGCTCCACCAAAGAAAAGTTTGAATCTTTTCAAAAGTTGTGTTTCAACAAAAACTCCATCAAAATAAAGTAGCAAAACTCATACTTTTCTTTTGTGTGGTTCTTGTAACTAGAAGAATTTTGCAAAAACTGTTTCTCAATTTTTTGAATAAAACGCCATATGGTTGATATCATGTGGGACAGTGGTCCATGTATCAGATATTAAGCTGGTGAGAACAGAAACTACACTTGATCTTAACCACAAGGCCGAGTAAGGTATCAAACGCCACCTTATAATGGTCTATTCAACATCAAATCTAAAAAACATTCACATAAGAGGAACAACCACCTCTTACAAATTGGCTTTTCTCAAAGAGGAAACTTTTGTAGAAAAAAAGAGTAATCAGATAGTGGTATTTTGTTTCATCAATGATTTATAAGAGGAATGGACTTTACAAGGTCGCATATTGACAAAGACAGCAATTGCAGGTGCATCCACTTGTCCAATTATTAATACGAAATTTCCAATATAATAAAGTTAAGTGTCAATAGAGCTTACGTCCAGGGCATTGTGAAGAAGATGTGGAGGGGTACCCCAAGAGCTTCAGCAACGTGTGCATGTCCTGTCAAAAAAAAATAAAACAATGATTATAAGTTGGACTAAATCGCATTCTGTTGACTAATCCTGATAAATGTTATTAACCAAAATAGCAGCAAGAGGTTGCTGATATCTGTACAACGATGGACTAGAATTATCTATGATACAAGGAGTCTATAAAGTCCAGGAAAGCATAAAAATGAATATTGTTTTGGGGACCATTGAGGAAAACCATATAAAGCAGTTTATATTTTATTCGACATTTATTTACAAAGCACAAGCTCAAGATTAAGTCTTCTTCCTTCTAAGCTCTTTGTTTTCAATGATTTCCAAAAGAATGGAATCTGCTTGTGCTGTAATTACTAAACCCAAACCGATATGCAACTTGCCAAAGCTGTGCAGAATACACACCTCCATAGATTCAGCTAATGACTTCTCCCAAAATAAGTTTTTTAGTTTGGAAGGGCTTTTACTTGTTCGAAGCAGTTTAACACAGCTCGTGAATTTGATACAGAAAATACAATCAGGTGGATTTCTGTATAGGCCAATAACCCAACTTCTTGACATAGGTCTACTCTAATTGAAAAGAAGCAGAGGAGCACTGTGAAGACAGTGTGAGATTAAATATGTAACATATGAACAGTCAAACTCAGCTAAGGCGGTGGAGTAACTTTTCAGACTGAACTCCTCCCAAGGTCAAATCTAGATAGCTTCTGGTCTCCACATTAGAAGTGTCAAATGAGATTAAACTCGTAGTAAGTAAACAGAGTTATTTGGCCAAAGACATTTCAAACGATTCTAACCCGAGGACGATTTAAGGTTATCTTTGAGATTCTTGTGTCCGGAGCTTACAGTGACCCATCCCTCAATTCATACACACTAATATGTTACATTTAATTCATATTTGTTGACTTCATGTTAATCCTTTCTAAGATAAATTCCATGATGCGACTAAGAGACCATCTCAGAATATAGTAGCTCCTCTACTTATAGTATCTCACAATATATCTTTCTAATTTAGTCAAACATATGTTCTCTATGATAGCAAAATATGACCACCACCACCCGCCACCGCCCCCCCCCCAAAAAAAAAAAAAAAAAAAAAAAAAAAAACTCAGCTAAGGCGGTGGAGTAACTTTTCAGACTGAACTCCTCCCAAGGTCAAATCTAGATAGCTTCTGGTCTCCACATTAGAAGTGTCAAATGAGATTAAACTCGTAGTAAGTAAACAGAGTTATTTGGCCAAAGACATTTCAAACGATTCTAACCCGAGGACGATTTAAGGTTATCTTTGAGATTCTTGTGTCCGGAGCTTACAGTGACCCATCCCTCAATTCATACACACTAATATGTTACATTTAATTCATATTTGTTGACTTCATGTTAATCCTTTCTAAGATAAATTCCATGATGCGACTAAGAGACCATCTCAGAATATAGTAGCTCCTCTACTTATAGTATCTCACAATATATCTTTCTAATTTAGTCAAACATATGTTCTCTATGATAGCAAAATATGACCACCACCACCCGCCACCGCCCCCCCCCCAAAAAAAAAAAAAAAAAAAGAGAAGACAGAAATGTAGCTTTTGGAGAACAAGCAATGATATTACAACTCCATGTGATAAATCATGGACCAAGCATGAATTAGACGTCCAGATATCAAAAAGGTGAAATGAGTGGTGAGTACAGAGATTCTTTCCGAACTCACCATAAGCAGGAGGATTTGCAATAATCGCTTGTGCTCTGAAAGGTTCACCAGTTTCAATATCTGGCTCAGTGCAAGCCGGAAGAAGAGATTCAATAATAGCCTTTAGCTGCTTTCGTTGTACAGATATCTCTCCTGGTCCAGAAGGAATGAGACCTTTGTTCCTGGCCATATCTGCAATTCCACAGAACATACAAACTTAGTCCATATTAAGTGATTTTATCAGCAAACAGGAATTCCATATTACTACTTGTACAGGTATGTGAATGAGCCACTTATTTCATACTAGATTCCAGTACAAATTTGACTGTTAAGTATGTTGAAAAGTTCGCAAAATTTTAAGAGAAATTTTCAAATTGTGCATTAAGTAACTAAAAGGAAAAAAACAGAAGCTTGATATAACCACAACTGCTCATAGGATTATGTTAGTGTTCATCATTGGTTGAAAGTGTGGCTATAGTCTCCTAGTGATTTGGGCAACCCTTACCGCATGAACCAACTTTCGAGATTGAGTTAGGCCTAAGCCCATCTTCTTAGCTTGGTATTAGTGCCAGCATTGTCAAAGGTGCCCTGACGCGAGGCTCAAAAAGCATTTCGCCTTATTTAATGTGTGATTTTGTGTCCTCGTCAAGGTTATACGACTTGCGTTTTCTTGCCAATAAGCCTCTTTAGAAGAGGCGGCACTAAAAAATTGATATTTTACTTTATCATATTATTTTTTTTCAATTTCTTTCTTCATATATTTGTCATTCATTCATGCTTTGGACTAAACACGGATTACTTTTTTTCCCTTTTCTCCTTTTTTCAATAAAGCCCACACTTTAGTTGCACTTAAATCCCCAACAGATCTTAGAGATTTTTTGCGCTTTTTGCTTTTGATAACACTAATTAGAGCCACACCCATCATCATTGTTGTGTTACCTAATGTAGGGCACTATGTTATGATATCCATGCTTCGTCTAGTCTTGGGCGTGCACACATAACATAGACAAAAACAAGAACGAGAAAAACAAAGAAGCATGCCAAAGACCTCTTACATCCTGTCAATACCCGAGGATCACCACCCAATGGGTAGAAGTCTATGCCTCCGGATTTGACAAAATCGCGGAAGTTAGAATGAGTTGCCAGCCTGACATGATGACCAAACGCCTGTCAATGCATAAAACTGATTAGAATAGGAACAAACGATTTACTCTACAAATGAACAATTTTTCAACCAAAATACAAAGATATTAAGGTGCACAAACATCAATAAAATTCTACAGACAGTGAGTGGAAGATAAAAAAACGTACATAAACTACTACAAGAAATATGGAAACACAAAATCTATAGTTGAAATATAATCAATTATTTCACGTGAAAGTCCAATATTGGCCACAAAAATGATGAGAATATTAAATAATAAGCAATCGTGCACCAGAAGAGGCCAACAGCAAGAAGTAAAGCTAAACCAACCTTAGATAGGAAAAGAAATTAAATCCAATGGTACCCACACTGGAAAGAGCATATTTAGAATGTTTTACCAGTCAAGCAGCAAAAGTCACCAGCTCTCAAGCAGACAAAATTATCCTTGCACAAAGTAATTGAAAGGTCCAAGTGACCTTTGCTTTTAATACTTGCTTCAACCATATAGGTCCAAATTCACCTCTAAAAATTCTCTCCGTCAACATATTCTCAAATGAAATCTCAATTGGTTTACCCAAGTCCAAGGGACACAATCTAATCCTTTTACCTTACAGCATCTCAACAATCAATTTTAAAAGTTGGTGACTAAGAAGACTAGAAAAGTGGAGAAACTAAGTCTAGTAAAATAGAACTTAGAAGTCCATCTAACAGACCTCTCCAACAAAGTGTCATTCAAAGCTGAAATTTGGGTTATTCTGTAAAGGATGCTGAAAAACATAGAATGCAATGATATAATCATAAAGGCAAGCACAGATGGTTAAGAAGAAAACGATATAGAACATATATGACCAGTACAGCTATAAACATGGTGATTTAGAACTCCCAACATGCCTGAAGTCTCTTGGCCATAGCCAAAAATGGTTGAACATCTCCCCTGGTTCCAACAATAAGCACCACGATTTTCAACTTTGGAACTGACTTATTAAAATCTGTGATAATCCTGTCTACAGTAAGAGTGGGTTCTTCAACAGATCGCAGCTCCAACAATTCAGAAGTTTCAGGCGTACTCTTAGTAAGGTCAACCTCTACTGTTCCATCCCCTTGAATCTTTACCAGATCCACAATGAGCTTTTGCTGGTGACATTAAGAACAGAAGGAAATATGAGGAAATGGTAAGTGAATAACAAGGAGTCAGCAACTTAACGGCAAGAAAATGAAAAGGTATATCATTTTCCAGATGCATGAAGTAAAAAAACACATGTAAGTAATTCGTGGTGGTTCTTTCAGACGCTGCAGAGGGGCAGTCCTGGGTCTCCATAGTCCATACTTACATAGGCAGATAGTAAGAATTCTTAGCCTGTTTAATTAGCTGCTACTTGTACATATACAGGCATGGACAACCTAATGTATGAAGCGGTGATTCAGGACGGATACATGTGATTATGTGCAGAAAAAATTGACTTTATTAAAGAGGGTGGTTTTCTTTCAGCCACTTATTAAATAGCAACTTGACTCAGCAGAGCCCTACAACATACATATCAACTCCATCAGTTGAAAGTAAGAAACTAGCTCAAAAACCAAATGGTCAAAGTAAATTTTGTATCAGTAAGTTTAAATAAGTACTTGATCAATACAATTGCCAGCTTCACATGGTCTAAGCATCATTTGAAAACGTAATGCTCAGCATTCTAGGATTCTTTTAAGTTTAATTGGTTTAGGTAAATCATATTTATTCAGATAACAAGCAATCTCGTTATTCATACACTTATCACTTCCCATAGCAGCTTTTCTACTACTTATCACTCTCCAACATTAAAGGTTCTTTCCATGCTTCAAGTTTACAATCAAATAAAACAAATTCAAGCCAACACTAGTGTCAAGGACAAAAGATTAAACTCTAACAAGTTGCAACAACTTTTGACACATTTACATGCATATCATAATCAAGACTAGTAATTCTATTCAACTCTTACGCCATGTTGACTATTATAGAATCTCACAGCAAAGCACTACACAATTGGTTGTCAGATAATAGGCACTTCAAAGCTGGAGACATCAATAACTTGTCCAAAATTTACCTTTCCACGTTCAGAGAGTCTATCCAATATTAGATTATGTCTTGGACTAACCCTCCTCTCAGTCAAAGATCTTGAAAATGCCATATCCTGGCCTTCAGGGAAAAGACCTCCGCCAATAGTCACAGGTGCAGTAATGCAGTGCTCCAAACCTACAAGTCAAACAAAAAAATAAAATGCAAAAGTCTTGTATGACAAAGAAACACATCTAATCCAGTAAACCACAACGGTCAGCTTTATCCCATCAACATAAGATATAAATGTCTAAGCCCTTCTGAAGCAAGTACGGAAAAGAGAAGAGAAAAGAAAAGAAAAGAAAAAACAAAGAATCATATGCAGCAACGATTTGCTTCAATTGCTTATAGAAGACCAAATCAATATTTTCTTACTACTAAATTTTCAGAAAGACAACGCTAAGAGGTTCCCAAGTCTAATTTATGAGTATTTTGCCACTCTAGACATGAAATCATTGTCAGCACAGCAATACAGCATACTGGCAGAATATCCTAAATGTGATACAGGATATAGCTTTTGCTTTGGAGGTAGGAAAGTGGAGATGATGTGAGAAGTGACATAGGAGGAAGTCTATAATGTACCTTAGCTTTGAGGGAAGCACAGAAGAAACCGTGAGCAAAAGCATTTTTCTCTCTTGTATGAAGACGGAGCAGTTAAAGTTAATACTCTGGAGACTTTTGGATATTTGATATTTTTCATGTTTGGTGTTAAATCATGGTTCCATCTTTTAGTAACTTGGTTTGACATCGTTGTCTGTCAAAACCTGTCCTCCACAAACAATGTTAGTTTTGTTTGTCATTAATTTTGTTGATGCATTGATTCTCCTTTGTAGGGGTAGTGGTGAGACTTGGAAATATAGAGCACTGGAAAGAATCCTTGACATTTGGACCAAAAGAAGCAGGTGAATATAATTTAGCTCATGAAACTCGAGCAAGACAATGCAGCCCCAAAAAATGTTCAGTCTCTTCATAGAATATGTGACCCTTAAAGTAACTTGAACCACAATCAACAAGCAGATGGTAGATTATAAGGAAGCAAGACTTTCTACAGATAGCTGTACAGAGATGAATTAGCTCAAGGAATTCCAGAGACAGATAAGGATGACAAAGGGTATTATTTCGACCTTGAGATGAAAAATGTCAATGAACCCTCCTTTTAGAATAGAGTTGTAAGATGAGGCACAGTTCTATACTTAAACTTAGAGCCAGAACACTTTTATTTATTTATTGTAATTTAGGTCTATGACAGGAAAAGTTACTCTCATCTTTTCTATAATACTTGCTGAGTAATATAGGACAAGCCTTAATAGTCTGAGATTCACAACTAAGCTTACATGTCGATCTAGATAGGATTATTTGAACTCCTTCTAGGTTGATTACATAGATGACAACAAGTAATGAGAGAGCATAATAAAGGAAAGGAACCAGCCCGTTTGGTGGGACAGAAAATAATAGTTCCATTCATCAAACTGTTAGCCAGAGGACAACAATGATGCTTAACATCGTAAATAAGATAGTTTCCTAGACCATTTTGTCATCCAAAATAGAATAAATACACAAACATGATTCACTTTTATCAAATAGAATAAAGATACAACACAAGAAATAGTTTTACTATCAATCAAAGAAGAATTATACTAATTAGTATACTCGCCCCACAAAGACAAATTACACCCTAGTGAACAGCATTATGAAACAAAAACCAAAAAGTTTTAAAAAAAAAGAAAAAGCCCACAGGATCATTCTGAAGTCCTACTATCCCAGTCACTTGGCACTCGCTCATACTTTTCCTCTCTAACTACTCTTATTTACATCCTTGTCAATATAACATTTTGCCAAGATCATGACTCCTATTCTAAATTTATTGGTGTAAGAGAAGACTAAACTAAATGCACAAGGAAGAATCTGTTGCAGGTTTTCTCAAATTCATTAATTTATCAACAGAGAAAAGCTTAGGAAGATGAAAAGCACTAACCTCTCCGAGCTAGAGGTGGAGGACTAGAACTCCGATGTGTTCTCTCATATTTCATTTCTGGAGTCAAACACTCATCAACATGCTCATCTGAAGACCTAATGTCCTTAAGTGATGAAGAACTTGTTCTCCCGCCATCTAATTCATCGGAAAAAGTAGCATCACACCGTTCATCAGCATTGTTTGGTACTTCTGAATCCCTTGTGCTCTGATTGCCATTAAGCCCATTGCTATCCATTTCATCTGATGAACTCCAAAACCACTTAAATTCACCAAACTGACACACCTAGTGTTCTAAAATTTCAAGCTTCGCAAACAATTGTAAGAGAACTCAAATTCAACTAAACTCCAGATTCAGCAACAAACATAAAAATCTGCTGACAACTTGCAAAATTCAGCAACTCCAGAATTCATAAACAATCCTGTGCATCAAAATCTGCTCAGAAATGAGAAAATTTCAGCAACCCCAAAATGCAGAACACTTTCATTCACCAAAATTCAGCAACCCCGCAATGAAAAACCAAATCTTGATTTAAAGCTAAAACTTTCCAAACTACACCACAAGCAATGTGAAAAGCTAATCTACCCTCTGCAACAACCAATTACTAGAAAAAAGAAACACAACCAAACAGTCAACGGCACGCATTGCACAAAATTCAAAAAAGATTGTAATGATAACAACATCTACAGGAAACTCACACAATACACACCCTAATTCTATTTACTATCAATAGAGAACACTACAAACAACAAATAAGTTAAGAAGTTGAAACCCCACAAAACAGAAGATACCAAAAGGGCTTATCCTTTTAGCGATTCAATAATTAATGAAACTGAATACTCAACTACCATGTAATTACCAAGAAAGCAACTTTACTTCTTTCGTCTTATATATTGAAAAGACTCATTCCAAGTTTGAGATTATTATCATCAATTATTGGTTTTTTTCATGGATGAATATGTTTTGGAGGGAAGCTAGAAAAAAACAAAGATGGTGTGTGGTTGTTGATCTTCACTCCTTTGTTGGGTTGTGGAACAACACTTACTCATTAACAATGTTCATCACACAAACTATTCTTGAAAAAAGTCCTGATTTTTCTCTTCTTTTTCTGTTCAATGCAAGACTTAACAAGGGACTATTCTTTTAGGACTACTTGCAAAGTATAATATCAATGATTTCGACACTGCTGAAAAGTATGGTTTAAATTATCACTACAACAAAAACGGTGAATTACATGAAATTTTTTTGGGAATTAAAATGAAATCATTGATTCAATTGTTTTAAAAATACTACTTATGATATACTATGAAGTTTGAATTTGAAGCTAAATTTTTGTTCCTAAATTAATAAGTCAATAAATAATCTTGTAGGTAGAAAACTCTATATATATATATATATATATATATATATATATATATATGAAAATAAAAATAAAAACTATCTTCAGCAATGTGTGCATCATTTTTTATAAATAGTTGATCCATTCGTCCTTTTTATATGTCATTCCTTTCTATAAATAGTTGATCTATAATACTTGTCATTTCATAAAATCAATGCATAAATTATCATATTATTCCTTTTTTATCCTTGTGAGTTATTAACCTTAAAAATATATATTTGATCAAGTACCAACTTAGAAAAGCTAAGTAAATGATTCATGTTCATTGGTTAAATTAATTCATGCTCATTGATTGAAAACTTAAATTCCAAAAAAATTAAATGAGTGCAAAATAGTAAACTTACTTAGTTTCTTAATGCACGTGAAATCTAAAATGGTGACATATAAATAGAAACGGAGGGAGTATGATATATGAAGTTTGAACTTGAATTTGAAGGTAAATTTTTGTTCCTAAATCAATAAGTCAATATATAATCTTGTATGTAGAAAATTCTAAATTTTTATATATTTTTTTAAATATATATATATATTTCTTATATGTTGTGCTGTGTAATTTTTACCAGGAGATTCGATTAAACACCCTAACAACCTGCCAGATCCTTTCTTTGTCCCTACATCTTGAATTATTGTTGTGTTTCTCTCCTCTTTGGAAACTTAATTATAAAAAAATTGATTATTTTATTCTATACAGTACTGACACCTTTTTGACTTGTATTAGCTCAATTGGAAAAAAATTATTCTGGGCGAGGCACACATACTGTCAGTTGTGTGAGGCCTCATTTAGCTGCCACATGTATACTGTGGGATCCATATGTACTAATTTTCCTACTTTTTCTTTTCTAATTTTAATCTTTTCTTTTACTTTTTCTTTCTTACTTGCATTTTTCTTTTTGCTTGTTAATTTTTAGTGTAAATTTTATTTTTTATTTTTTGTTTTAATAAAGAAACTTTGAAATTCACACACGGTATCTATTATATATTTTATATCTTTATTATTATTTATTTGAGGGAAAATTAAAGTAATATGTCGAAAAAATTAAATTTACTTATTTTTGGATGAATTCAAGAAAATTGAGGATAGTGAAATTAAAAAAAAATTAGTGAAAATCCATGTAATCAACCCACTGAACTAATTAATTTATGCTTTTCTTTTTTTACGTACTGAATTTTGATTTAAATTTACAATCATTATATAAGTTTTTAGTTTATTATTTTAATATTATTTTTTCTATTCTATATTATTTATTTTATTATAATAAATAGTTGTTTGAAATTTATTTTTTAGTTTATAAAATCAAGATATAAGTAGTTTTTTTAATCCTAAAAATTAATTTTTTATAATTATAAATAAATTTTGTAATATTGCAAAAATTCTTTTAAGGAATAAATTATTAAAAATATTATTTATATTTATAATTTCTTTAAGAACATGTAAGAAAAGTAGATAAGCAAAATATTTATTAAATTTCACCTATCTTGATTTTTAAGAATAAGAATATGGTATAAATTGACGGAAATAATATGTATTTATGTTGGTGTTTATGGATGTTTCTCGTTTTTGAATTTCATGACAATAGTATCAAAAAGACAAAACTTATGTAATTGTTTTTCAAGATCATTGATGTTCTTTCCGTTTTAGTTACTTATTGAAGAGTATTTGTGGATTGAAGTGTTTTTGGATTATGAAATTGTTGAGAGAAAAATAAAAGAACATATTAAATTTATACCTTCTTTATTTTTCATATTAATGATCTACTTTTTCTTTTACAAATTTCTTAAGAAAACACAAATAAAATATATACCTTAATTTTTTTTGGTAACTTTATAAATTTTATTTATACTTTCAAAAATAATTAATTGTTATAATAAAATAGAAAAATTTTAATTAATCATATCTTTGTAAATTAAAAAATAATTTTATATAACTATTTTTAATAATATAAATAATTAATATGAGATGGAAAAACAATATAAAAATGTAATAAATAAAATGAGCCAAGCAAATTTTTTTGAATTTCATATCCTTCATGAATAAAGTTATTTAAGTATGAAATAATAAAATTTGGAACAAGTGTTTTAGAAAAGAAACCAAAGGAAAAAAAATAATAAAATAGAAAAAATTTAATTAATCATAACTTTGTAAATTAAAAAATAACTTTATATAACTATTTTTAATAATATAAATAATTAATATGAGATGGAAAAACAATATAAAAATGTAAAAAATAGAATGAGTCAAGCAAATTTTTTTGAATTTCATATTTTTCATGAATAAAGTTATTTAAGTATGAAAATTGAAAGTATAAATTTTGGAACAATTGTTTTATAAAAGAGACCAAAGGGAAAAAAAGAGAGAAAGAAGTAAGAAAGGAAAAAAGCGTTAAAAGGAAGAGAGAGAAAGAGGAGTGTCCCCTTTTTCGGAAAGTGATCCACTTGGCAAAACATAAATGGGCCTTATACAACTCTTGTTTGCCACATCATACTTGTACCTCATCCATGATAAAAAATTTCGGGCAATCGGGATTAAAAATTACCATGTCCTTTTGGCTTTAAAATCATCTAAATTTTCCTCCAGAAACAAAATTATCTTTGACTTTTCTTTCTTATTTTCTTCAAATATTTTACTTTCTCTTTTACTTTACTCATTTTATCTCTCATTCTAGAAAATGTTTCTCAATTTTCTCATGTTTGATTGAATTAAATATTTTGAAAAATATTTTTCAAATCAACTTATTTTTCTCAAATTACAATTTTTTTTTCTTACCTCACTCTTGACCCTCCCCATTCCAAAAAAAACAATTTTAATTTTTTTATATAAAAAAAATCAATTTATTTTGTCTCTATCCCCACCTCCTACACCCAAACTAGCCCCTCCCCCCAACAAAAAAAAATAACAACTTAAAATTTGATTTTTGAAAAACAGTTTAAATTTAGATTTATTTTCAATTTTTTACCCCACTCAACCCTGACTATCCCTACCCCCACTTCCCACAAAAAAAAAAAATTAGAAGTTTGTTTAAACAAAAATAATTAAATTTCATTTTCTTTAGCCCGCACCTACCCCAACCACCTACCACCCCCTCCCAAAAAATAAATAAATAAAAGTTTTTTTAAAAAAAATAAAAAATATTTTTTATTTTTATTTTTCTACCCTACCCTACCAGCCCTCCTAAAAAATTATGATTTAAAAGTTTATTTTTAAAAAATATTTTCAAGTTTTAAAATTTTATTTTTTACTCATTTCGACCCCCTACTACCCCCTCCCCCCCAAAAAAATAATTAAAAATTTAATTTCTGAAAAATATTTTCAATCCCCCCACCCCCCACACACAAAAGAAATTTAAGATTTTATTTTTTTTGCAATAATTTCAGTTTGAAAGTTAGGTCTTGAGTCGTGTGTGGTTGGGTCTTGATTCGAAAATTGGAGTCGAAATTCTGATTTGAAAGTCGAATCTTCGGTCTCGCATCAATTTTTGGTTGTCGGGGTCAGATCTTGATTCGTAAGTCGGGTCTCGATTAGAGTATCAAAGTCGAAACTCTGATTGATGGATCATGGTCAAGTTCAGATGTCGAGATCAGGTCCTAGGTCGGATATCTAGTCTCAATTCGAATGTCGGGTCTCCGGTCGAAAGTCGGGGGCAGGTCCTGGGTCGAATTTTAGATGTGTCTTCGGGGTTGTGTGTTAGTTCGCGTGTCGGGGTCATGTCCTAGATCGATTATCGAGGTTTCTTTTCGGGTCAAAAATTATTTTCTACTCTCTAGTAAAAAAGAGGATATTTGATTAAAAATGATTTTCATTCACAAATAAATGCTAAAAAATATTTTCTACTCACCAACCAAACATGAAAACATAAGTTAGAAATCCAGTTATTTTCCAAAAAAACACCTTTCAACAAAACATTTTTCCTTCATACCACTATTTAATAATTTTATCAAATTTGGAGTGACACACATCATTCTTTCAAAATTGCCTAAGATAGAGTTCATACACACTTAAACACACCCCTAAATCCCTTCAGTCACTCACCAATATTTGAATAAAATCAGAGCACTACAAAACAAAACAAAAATGATTATTCAAGAAAGTAACATAAACAATCAAAAAAGCTTGGAATAATTTATTTTACTAACTCACATAATCTGGGAAATGTATCTGGTATATTTTGTGGTGTATCCACTTTGTATATGAGTTGTATCAATGATGTGTCTGAGAACGTATTAGAGATATACATGTTATAACTTATATGCATTTGTGTTCGTGTATTTGCTGATTTTACTATGTATATGTCATGTATCTGAGCATGTACCTGATCTGTAGTTATGATGTATTTGGCATGTATTTGAATATCTATTTGAGTTGTATATTCATATATCTGATGTGTATTTGTGTATACGTATCTGTTGATTCTATCAAATAACTATTATGTATTTGTGAAGTTTCGAAATGTCGCAATAACACAATGATAGTTGTCATTGTGACTCTCATATACAACAAATTTCAATTAACAGAGAGAACGACACACACAATTAGTAATTAGCGAAGAATTATAAGGAATAAGCTATGGAAACCTACCTAACACTCGAAAATAATGGAAAAATTATTGGAAAATTTGAAGTTTTTTTGGACTAGGGATACAACATAATCGTTAAACGTGTGATTTACTCCTAGATTAGTGCATTCCACTTACATTCTAATTTTGAATATGATCCATAATTGGTTAGACATGGATTTACTCCTAGATTAATGTGTTTCAGTTGTTGGAAAACTATATGCACAGCGAAAGCATACCAGAATCATGTTACTTACATGAATAACAGACAACACGTAGTTTATGCTAGAGCACATAGACTTTATGAAATTTAATTCAAGATTTACCTTTTGAAGCGTGAGCAAGATACCTTCAAGCGAATCCACAAGCCAGTCGACAAGCTAGAACCTTCAAACGAATCCACAAGCTAGTCCACAAACTGGACCACAGTTTTGCAGTCTTCTACAGTGATCCCAAATTCACTTCTAAACTCTCAATACTTGGGTGGGCAAGTATCATATATCAAACTTCTCTTCCTTCAAGGGTTAGAAGAATCCCTATTTATAGAGATTTCTTTATTGTCCAAGGAGGAGGAGAAACACATCGTCTTTCCTTAGAATAGAAAAAGACATGTACTTCTCCCTTTCCTTAGAATAGAAAAAGAGAAAGACACATGCTTCTCCATTTCCTTAGAATAGAGAAAGACACATTCTTCTCTCTTTTCCCCTTAGAATAGATTTTGAGTTCTAGTTAAATATGGGCACGGTAGGGACCAAAGAATTAATTATTGAGGCTTCCTATTATGGAAATAATTCTAAATAATTAATTTGAATTATTCTTACCATAATAAATTACAAATCATTCCACTAGAAATTCGTAATTGCACTCCTCTATTTGTATTTTGAAATTTCCCATTAAACACATATGTAATTCCCCATGTTAAGATTACAGATACTAATCGATAAATTAAATTACTGACGAATTTAATTCAATGATCAATTTTCTTAGAGAACTGCTTAACTTATTTCATGTGTCGGATTCATAACCGACTTGCAAGGTTTGCTACGATGAAAACTTATAAGCTTCTCAAAAAGGCATATCATCATTCTCTATCTCGAGACATGGATTCCGTCAACTAACTTATTAATTCACCAATATATATTATCATCATCCAATCTACCAGACATATTGACCCATATTAGAATCTCACATTTTAATAAATCAAAACGATAATTAACATATATAGATCATAATAGTTATATCAGGATTAAGAATATAAGTACATTTAATAGTTTAGAGAATATGCTTTTGTCGGCTAGTATAAAGCAACCATCTCTGCTCGGTCCCATTCAACACATACAAAATGCACTAGCACAAGAATTTGGAACTATACCATTCCCATAATCAAGATAAACTTCATATAATCTTGTGCTACAATCGTACCGATGGCATGTCCAATTCGCATCTTAGATTGTAAACAAAAAACTTTATACTTATAAGAACAGATGATTTAATCCTCTATGTATAAGATTAAACTATATGCACTAAATCATCTACTATATAAATAAACAGGCACCATAATGATCTATTAAAAAGGAATAAATAATTACTCTATAATAAATACTATATCTAAACACATGATTAATAGTATATATCCCAACATCAGTTACATTCCAATTTTAAATAGATGTATTTGCTTCACATATATTTGAGATACATACATCTTTATGCGCTAGATACATGTATATAATGACCAACGTATGGTACGAAATGTAATTTCAAAAATTTAAGAGAAGACTTGTAATTAGACCCTAAAATCTAAACTAGTGTAATTTGTATTATTTGCTTCTTTCTCCTCTCTTTTTTCATTCAAGAAGCTATTTACATGAATAACTCATATTTACAAATTTAATCAAAGAATAATATCATCATATTCATATACAAGCCTTTTTTACTGGCTACTACCTTGACTTTTATCCCCACGTGATTTTGCAATTTCCTTAATTACCAAAGCTCTTGCACGATTAATCGTTAAAAGACATAAATAAACATGTTCTTCAAGTTCCTCCACTTGTTTCTTGAATCCAATATTACTCTTCTTCAACTCCTTCAACACTTCCAATGAAAATCTATCTTCCCTTTTATCTAAACACAATTGAATCATTTCCTTATTATGATCAATTTCATCATGGAGTCTATCCACAAGCCTAGAAATCATGTCAAAATCTCTATTCAAAATATAAGTACCTTTCGTTGCAATGTCAAGTTGATCTCCAACTTTTCTTAAAAATCCACATTTCAAGAATCGAAAACTCATAATATTTTTCTTAAATGGCTTTAAAGGTAGGGTTAAAATCGCCGGTCCCATGACTATTGCTGCAAATGTATGTGCTGCTAGTACCAATGCTGCCACAACAACTAGTCCACAAGCCATTGTCACACATACCCCTGAAGTCTTGTTGACACATTTGATCAATTTGATTTTCCTAACCACCCTTTTTTTCTTAGACTTCAAACATTGTAACACTGATGAATATTCATCGTTAATTCGCGTAAAATCTTGTTTTTTAAGGTCAGAAAAGGGGTTGTTGTGAATAATAAAAGTTCGAAGCTCGAGTACTAGATAACCAAATTGGTCAAAATTGGAAAAATTATCGATCGAGTCAAGGACTTGTTCGATAAAACCATAGTGAGATTGAATTTGGCTAATGCTTTTAAGGATTTGACTACAGAATTTTGATGCGTCCGCACTTATATTAAAGTAATTTGTAAGAAGGGATTTGAGATTGTATTTTTTGGCTGGAAAATAAGTTGTTTCAAGAATTGATGTAATTTTATCTTGGCTTGGATCAAGGAGGATTTCTGAGAAAGTATTAATGTGACATAATTGAGAATTAGGAGATGATGGTTCATTTACAAGAAATTGAGCTTTTGTAAAGAAATCATCATATGATTTTGTTCTTAATGCTCCTAGGTATTCTTCATTTACATTTAGGCTTCTTTGTGTGTCGCTTGTCATTTTCTTCTTATCTGGAAAATAACATAAATTCACTTTATTGAAGATCAAGATATTTTTTTTAAAAAGATCAATAATTAATTAAATAGTAATTACTAAGAATTATGAATCTTGTACAAAATTAACTCATGAATATTTGTAATTACGATGAGATAAGGAAAACATGAGTGGTTTGTATCTTTTTGGAGTTGTATTGATGCGATAGGGATCTAAAATTTGCACATATACAACAACAAATTCATCGATCGAAGCATACTAAATTAAACCAAATTAATTAATTAATTAATTACCTTTGATAGTTATTTCACACGTTGTATCTCCTTTCATCATCTTCAATCCTTCAAGCTAAGCTTGCTAGAAATTAAACTGCAACAAGTTTAGTTTCTTCAATGCATGGAAATATATATATCAAGAAATTGTAAGACCAACACACAAGTCATGTTTCTTTAAGGGTACCAAAAATTGGCAAGTCCAAGGTTAATTGTCATGAGCAGTGCCCCTTTTTAAAGCCCCACTTGCAAGAAAGACATACAGTTTTAATTTAAGAGAAAGGATAAATATACCCCGAACCATAGTAAATGGTATGCAGATACCCTCCGTTATATTTTTGGGATATTGAGCCCCTGTCATATAAAAACTAGAGCATATATGTCCTTCACTCTAACGGAAGACTAAATAGGGATACGTGACACAATCTTAACCGTTGATCCGATATTTAATAAATATCAGGTCGGTGGATAAGATTATGACACATGCATGTCCATTAGTTAAAAGGGTCTATATGCTCTAACTTTTGAATAACAGGGGCATCAATGTCCTAAAAATATGACGGAGGGTATATGCATATCATTTACAATAGCTCACGAATATATTTGTCATTTTTCCCTTAATTAAATTAAGGATGATATCTTACGTTATCCCTTTTTCTGACATGCATTCATTTAATCTGAATGAAAGAAAAAACTTGTGCTAGCTATATATTTGCTAGCTTTAAGGCTAATATGTGACACCTTTTTAATTTCTTCAGATGATGATATATATGATATGATCAATCTGGTGGGTTGTTATATGCCTTTTTTTTTTTACTTTTTCTAATTTATTGCCATGATTTATTATGTAACTAAAGTATTACTTTCTCCGTCTTGATACAATTTCTTTTTTAATCCTTGTAAACAAGAATGATATGTTTTTATATTTTATAATAATTTAATTTTAAAATGCTTATTTATTTTTAGTAAGATTATTTATATATAGTCACTCAAACATCTATATATAACTTGTTCTAGATTACAAATTTCAAAAGTCTTTCTTACATTGTTAAATGTTATGTCAAGTCAAGTAATATTACATAAATTGAAACAATCAACGTTTTTAATTAAAACTATTTATTTGGTAGTTGATATATGCATAACAAAATTGAGTTTATTAAGCAACTTATGAATTTGGAACCATTGTAATTATATTAATATACATACATACAATCATATATATGTACATGTATATAAAGATTCGTTTATTGCGTCTTCCATGTCTCTTTACTTTATATTTCTCCTTTTTTATGTCTAATCTTATCCTTTTTTTATGCCTTACTCGATATTTATTTCTCGTGTCTGATTGTGTAAAATCATTAAGTACATAAAATTCTCCCTAAATTTGACGAGAAAATTTATTTTAGCAATTTAACTTAACGAGCAATTACTTACCCCCCCCCCTTCCAATCTCTTTTTAAGTTTTGTTGATCTGATGGCACGATATATATATAACTTAAAACTTTTTTTTCTTTCTAAAAGGTACTAGGAGTGCATGGTTAATAGGCAAGTATGAATAAAGAAAGTTGCAAGCAAAGTAGGAGAAAGGATGAAACATATGACATAATATTATGTTAGAGAAATTTAAGGAAATATTGTTATGGTTACGATAACAGTTACGTTGCTTCAAGGATATTACTCCCCTAACGTAACTTTACATTCCATGCATATCTGTCTACGTATATATATATATGTCTTCCTCTACGCAAAGAGTATATAATAATACACGTGGCTTCCTCATATAAAGACAAGTAGGATTTACAAAAATACTACTTACTAATTAATTAATTAATTGTGGGAGTTGAGTGGAGAGTTCAATGTGGTTGTCATAGCTGATGAAGTTATCAGTACTTATCGCAAAAACAGATTCAAAATTTTAATTTTATAATTTTACGTGATTATACTTATTTTTTAAATTATATATATGTTAAAGAGAAATCAATTTTTTATACAAGACCTATACATAGGGCCGTCTCAACAAGTTTGGGGCCTAAAGTCAAACATTATAAAGAAGCCCTATTTTTTTAGTTGATATAAATATAAATTGAATAATTATAATATACTAGTGTAATCCTACAAATGAGGTCTGGAGAGGCAGGATATATGTAGACATTATGAAGTAAGAATGCAAATAATGTAAATTTTCAATGAAAATTATTAATATAAAGTTGGAATAATAAAACATGACTCAAAAATTTAAAATATGATGATATTAAAATAGTGTAGCGGTGAATTTGATAAGTTAATAAATAATATTAAAATAGTGTTGATTAGTTTTAGTGCTTGAAATTTTAATAAGACACCAAAAACAAATTTGATCTTTTTATAAACACACAACAATAGATATCACATAATGTAGAATGTTTGAACGTTTGAGAAACTTAAGAATATTCAATAATGAAAGAATAAAAAATAGTGAAAGGAGAGTAAAGAAAAGTAAGTATAAGAACACAATATTGTTGGTTCATGATAATCGTCAAAATATAAATGAGCTAGACAACAAAATAGATAGTCGCATGCGAAACTAGAAAGGATACTACAATTAACTAGGCACATAAGAATCTAGAAAAGACACTACAATCAACTAAACAATATTCAATTTCTCAATTATATTTTCTATACAAAAAAATATTTTCAAATTTATTAATACATGAAATTTTTTTAACAATATATATACATATATATATACACACACATCTTTGAGAGAAAATGGAGGTCCCAAAAAAATTGGAGCCCCAACCGATTGCTTTAGTGACCTTATGATCGAGACGGCCCCAAAACTCGTTCACACCCCTAAATCCCCCCCTGATTTACCAAAGTGTACATTTTTCACACGTCTTTCTTTCTTTAATTTGGATTTGTGCTTACATAATTCCACTTTTTTCCTACTTGGCATCCATGTCAGCGTCCTAATCCCCTCCCCTTTTTTCTTTTCTATTTTCTTTAGATATACCCAATAATCATTATGAATTAAAATAAATAGCCTTACACTTCATATATTACAATAAAAGATTATCTCTATAAGATGTTTATATAAAATTATATTAATTTATTATAGTTAAAGTAACAAATTAAGATGAGAATTTAATTTGTATGAATGATCTACGATTTAGTGATAACGGGATATGTAAAGATATGTAGCTTAATTTTTTCCTTAAAAAAAATATCCTTTGGAATTGTTAGAAATTGAAACGCAAACTAGAATTTTACAGGGAAAATTAAGCAAATACCTATAAAAGCAAAATAATTATAAACATATACCCCTTTACATTCATACCTTAAATAATTACACTATAAACCCCCAACTAATTTCGCTTAACTGATATTAAATCAATATCATATACTGTATTGGGATCATTAAGGTTAATAATTTCGCTCAATTGATACTAAATCAGTGTATATATATATATTGTATTAGTATCATTAAGGTATCTTGTTCATAAATTACTCATTAGTCAATGATACTATTGTTAGGGTTTTGCCCTGATTTTCTTACCATAATTTAAGATTTATTTTTCCTTAAAGAAAAAACAAAACATTACCATAAATGTTTTTACTTTTCTTGAAAGGAAAATATAATATTATTTTATATTTGGTTTATTCTCTCCTTTTAGGACTCCTTTTCTAGTAGGAAAGGTTTTAGGACTCTATAAATATAGGTTTGTTTCTTCTAACACAATAACAATA